TCTTTTTTTATTTGCATTCAAAAAGATTTATTTTTATTTTATTTTAAATTATTTGTTTTTGTCAAAAAAGAATAGAGTTATTAAATTTGGATGTTAAATAAAACTAAAACACCACACAATTGCCTCTATAAATTGTAAAGTTAAAGGTGGTTTTACTAGCTCCAAATTATTTCCTGCTAAAATATAAAAAATTATAGGAATTCCAAGGCGAGATACTAACCATCGTAAATTTTTTAAGCTAAAAAATAAAACACAACACAATTGATTGTAGAGAACTAGTTTCGATCGCCTAAAAAAACCATGTTATGGCGGGTTAATCACTATAAACTACCTCCCTCAACATTCCACGGTATTTCGAAAAACTATTAAGGCGTAAAGACGACGACACTATAAGCGGTTGATACAATATTACTAGACTTTGTTGAAGTACATAACCTCCTTTACTAGATAAAACAACCATCGAAAAAACTATATTTTGGTGTAATGTATGTTAGGTTGCTCAAAGTTGAAATGAAGCATTATTTTTGCTTGGAAAAAACCATGTATAACTAGTTTTTTTCCCGAGCAACTACAAACATTTTCTATCTTTTGCTTTCTATAGTCACTTGTTTGTTCTTCTTTTTTTTTTTTGTTTATTTAATCATACCATTGAACTATTTTCAAAAAAGTTGCTTTTGTGTATATTAAAACCCTATCAATAATTGTTTTTGCTTTATATATACCATGAAAGTTTGTTTGCTTTGACAAATGATGCTTCTTAGCCATTATCCCTCTTATACAATATGTTTATTACCTTTTATTAAAGCATTAAGTGACTTTACATTGGTTTTTTGCACAACGAAATGCATGTATATATCTATGTTAACTTTTTTGAAATTAGTCCACCTCATTCACCGAATATCAATGTTAGGTTATTATAGCTATCTTTATATATTAACTTCAAGTTGAACATATGAATATATATTTATGCAACTTATCTATGCGTTTTGGTGTTTTTGCTTCAACTTTCTTGAAAATTTAAACTCTATTTAGTTATTTTCGGTAATATTTAGTTAGCTTATGCCCACTCAAAGTCACCTTCTTATGCAATATGCTATAAAAATGTTTGCTGTACACTCATAAACTAACATAAAAAAAAAAGTACAAGAATTATTTATCGTTTCCACCAACAACGGCAATCTATAGCATTTCCATTGCTTTTGTCCTTACCACATAACCTTTTCATTTCTATAGTCTTTCAATCCAATACAAGCTCAAACTAGGAATATCAATTGATGCTCAAATAAAGTCAACAGAGAATCTAGAAACAAACACTTTGATTTGACATATCACACTTTGAAATAGTAACAAAAACTAAGAAAAGATCTTTTTTTTCTCAATAGTGAATGAACACACTTTTGTATTTATATATAAAGTATCATGCAATACAAATAATAAGACTCAGTTTCCTTTACTTAAAATTTATCCAACACAAGCTCTAAGATTTTCAAACAAATTAACTAAGCAGAGGCATTCTATCACAAACTTCTACAAGCAAGGACATTATTATTATTATTATTATGCTTCTTTTCCTTATTGTTTTTCAGCTTTTTCCCCCTTTTTATCACTTTTGACCATTAAGTTTCCCACCTCAAAAACATTTTGACTAGATTTCAATAATGGATAGCGATAATCTTAAAAACCAAAACAGGATCACGATCGAATGCTTGTTGTAGCCATTGGTTCACCGTCTAGAGGTTTTCACATTTTTTTTTTTTTTATCAAACTGAAAATAAAATATTTACAGATATCTTTTTTTCCAATTGTGCCACAAGTCTCAACCTTATAGTTTCCTTATTGTAGAGCATTTATGTCGCTACTCAAGTTGTGATAATACGTATTGATGCAATATACGACCGGTGGTAAACAACATGCTAATTATACCAGCACTCATGCTAATTATACCACCACTTTGCTAGACAAATTGAAAAAAAAAAAAAAAAAAACTACTCTTACATAGGCCATAGTAGGGTATATCGTGTTCTAGTGCCAAGGTAAGCACTTACAAATATTTTGAATTAATTCAATTCTTTCCATCATAATTGCATAATATCATTCTTAATATACTTCAAAAAAATATCAACCACATGTTTCGTGTTGCTTGCATCGTCCAAGATGACACTATCGAAACCATTATATTGCTCGTTAAAGATATAGCTAAAACATGCTTAGGCTACTCATTCCATCTGATTCAACACTTTGGTTACGCTAATGTATATTCGAACCCTTAATTTTTATTTCATTCCCTTAACCAGCTTAAGATTTTTTGTGTTTGGCATAACCTATTTGACGACTTGAGCAGAGCATCGCCTCAACAAATTCTCATGTTTTTAATGCCAACATTGAAGGACCGAACAAAGCTAGGCAACCACCTATAGGGAACCGATTACCTATGTTAGCCACTCATGAGCCCTCTCGCCTTAAGAATTAATATTGATGGATTGACAAACCATGGATTATCAATTGATCTCTTCTTTGGTTGAACTCGAATTCCAAGAATAAATAATGTTTTACGCTTCTTTATATATGTTAATAAACCTTTTGAGATAACAAAAAGAAGATGATAGTCTGTTAGTTTGCAATTATTATGTAACTACGCACTGCTTGTAACTCACTAAAAACAGATCACTTGCTAATCAAATTGATGTTATTACATCTAGTGATAAAGTGGTACATTGCTTGCAATTTTACCTACAAATGTCACATTCGTTTTTATATGTAATTATATCCATCAACAACAAAGCCCAGTACCAATCTAGTGCCAAGTACTTCAATTTTAGTCTAACATTTGGTCACAGGTTTATGTTGGCCTATTCTATTTAATTTTGTCTACGTGCAAAACTCATCATAAAAATCCTGGATAAATGTGAATATAATGAACAATTTGTGTTATGAAATAATTCTTTTTTAAAATTAAAGGTAATTTTGTGTTATTAACTTTGTTAAAGGAGTTTATGTTTAAAAATAACGCTTGTATAATTAATTTTATTTTTAATCAAATACTAATTTATCTAACCTTAATATTATCAATAATAATTAAAGAAAACTCTCAAATATCCTACATGGCAACTCAAAAAAAAAAAAAAAAAAAACCTTAGTCATGGCAACACCAAACAAGAAAAAAGTCTAGAAACTCTTAAAAAAAAATCTCTAAAACTTACAAAAAATTTGAAATTTAATATAGATAAAGACGAGGCCAACCTCTTAGCAAAACAAAAGGAGAGGGATTGCTCGTCTAATAATATAAATTCTTAATATAACACAAATATTAAAATTAGCTTAAAAAATCGAGGCCAAAAGCATTAGTAATCAACATATATTAAAAATTGTATAATTAATTTATTTTTAATCAAATATAAATTTTTATTTCTCTATTATTAAACATAGATATTATAAAATATCAAAAATAAAAAGTGCCTAAAAACCCTAGAGAAAAGATGAATACCTATAGATTATTAAAAAGTTTAAGCGTGTGTGTGTGTATATATATATATAAGATTAAGTTTATTGATTTTATTGAAAATTAATTATACGTGGACTCGCGCTTGCGCACGCGCGCGCGCACACACACACACACACATATATCATGATTATAAGTGTGTAGCATAAACCAAAAAATATATATTTTAAAAAATTAAATTATAAAAAATATATTGAAATTAATAGAGTGCAATAAAAATAGTTATAAAATTAATTCTAATAAAATTTTATTATATAAAGAATAATAAAATAAAACATGTGAATTCTATCATTAAGATTTTATTTTATAAAGAATAAGTAAAAAAAAAAAAACAACTAAAAAATATTAAAAAACCTATATATAGAGAAAATAAATTATATTTATTAAAAAATAAAATTACATAAAAAATTAAAATTAATTTGATGAAGATTTTTATAAGAAACTATATATTAAAGAAATCAATTTTAAACGATAAGAGTAATATAATTCAACATATATGTTTATTCTAAAATTTAAAAATATATCTTATATAATTTCTAATATATCGTATATAATTTATAATTGTAAATGTGGAAAAAAATTAACCATTTTTTTTTTTAATCATTTTCATACTTTATTCAATAATAATAATAAATTGAACATAAATTAGTGGAAAAAAAAGGAAAAAAAGGGCAGGCCTGCATGTTGGCAGGCCCAAAGCAAGCCTGAGTGAATGGGCCTACAGAAGGTCCAATGCAAAATACTCTCCTGGCTATGAAAAGCAGCCTAGTGACCAATTGTTTTAAAAATAAACACGAAGGATCAAAATAAAATGTAATGAAAAATTCGTAAATTAATATAAAAAATAAATAACAAAAAATTACACATGCCATTTTCATCTACAGTAACCTGTGAGAAAATGAACATTGAAATTCTCTGTTTATTCACTGTTTATTTTCCCCGACGTTTTTAGATTTTCTTTAAATATTTTCTCTAATTTATAGTTGGAATTTTTAAAAATTATTAATATATCATTTAACACATAAAAAAAAAGCTTATCATCTGATCAATTTTGTAGCTGTTGTTATATATATATATATATATATATTTTTGTTTTTAATATATGCAGATTAAGTCTTTGTCTTCTTCGTTTTCTTCATCAGTTTTTCTCTAATTTATAGCTGTAATTTTTTAGAATTAGAATACATCACCTAAGACATAAGGAAACTTATCCTCCGCCCAATTTTGTACCCGTTGCTAAATTTTTAGTTTTTTCCTCCCCTTCATAAATTGCAACAATTAACGAAAAATATAAATAAAACCCTAAACAAGGCAGGTTTCTACCGTTCTCTCTCCCAAACAAGTGTATCTCATTCTCATCTCAAGAGTGAACGGAAAAACAAAAAAACACACGTCACTGCTCTGCATCCCCAACCCCAAGTTCCAAACCAACAGTCACCAGCCAGCCGCACCCAGCGATCTTCTCCAGCAGAAGCGGCGCCGTCGTCTCCACTCTGCAGCGATGGCAGGAGTGCCTCCAATTGGTTTTGTTTTTTCTCTTTGAACTTATCGTACTTTAGTTTGATGAAATTATTGGATTATTTTAATTAACCTGTTTATGTGTTTGAAATGTAAATCTGAAGATTCTTTGCATGTAAAATTTATGGATTTGTGTATTATTCTTAAAAAAAAAATTATGGGTATTCTTGAGATGTGAACTTTCAGTTATATTGATTTTGGTTTGTTGGATTTGGCGATACAGTGTGAATTTACTCCTTATTAATTCGCTAAAATTGATGGATTCTGTTATTTGCTTCTCTCGTACTATTATCGAGAGAACCCGTGTGCCGGTGTCTTTCAATTCAAGAGCTGATTTGATAAACGGGTATGGTGGGTATGGATATATATCCATTTATAATTTTTTTAGCCTTAACATGATACCCTCGGGGATGTCGGGTTGGGTTAGGGTATAGACTGGTATGGCTTTTGGAGTATTTTCTTTAAATGGGTTTGGGATGTTTATGTTTATCCAGTAACAGGGTTCGGTTTTGGGAAAGGGTAAATGTGTGGGTACCCTAGCTGTTGCATCCCTAGTTATTTGTTTTCTTGGATGATGTCTATAAAGATAAAATTTGGATTGTTGATATTTTTGCTTCGGGTTATGCTTTCTAATGTTGAATTAGCAATCAAGTGGAGCTTTTACATTTTAGATTGCAATGAATTTTGAGAATTTTTATGCTTGCTTTGTTTAAACATGTTTTTCAATGATAGATATTGCAGAGGAGATTCGTTCGTTACAGCTCGATTCAGCAGGTTGTAGTAGAATTTAATTGTTAAAATGAAATATTGGTTTTGCTTCTATTTTTTTGATTTATTTAATATTTGGGATTTAAATTAAATGCTTTAATTAAATTTTAGCGTCAGAGATAAATGGGGTGACTAATCCAGAAGATGAAAAGCCAGAAGAAATTGAGGAGGTGGATAAAATGGAGGAAGGTTGGTGGTATAGTGAAATTCGTGCTTGGAACTTTGTTATGGTCATTTTTATTTTTGCTAAGTAAGTGTGCCTTAATGGTTCAAAAGATCTTACATAGTTGTTCCGGTTAAATTTGAAATGGGGTGTCTCGGTAATGCTTAATTAACTAATCTGAATCTTGCAAATAGCTAACTATTAGATTGCATTATGTGGAAATTGAATCAAGGTGCTAAACAAAATTAAAGCCTTGACTAGTTGTGGAATCTATTAGCTTGCTCTCATTTCGGCATTTCAACTTGTCATGGGTTAGGTAAATGTCTTATTACAATTGAACCATTTTGCTTAATTCCTAATTTTGCTTATAGGCGTGTTGTAAGATGTAGATCTAACGTCTCTCCACTTTGGCTCCAAACTTACTTTTGCAGTGGTAGACTGGTAGTTCATCGAGAACGAATGGTTGAAAATTTCTCTATTGGATGCCTTGAAACACTTAGTGATGAATTAAAAGGAATGAAATGTAAATGCTTGTATCCATTTGGTTATTGATGTGGCTTAAATTTGCAGTTTGTCGTACTATTGATTGAAGACATTTCACTTTTACTTTTCAGTTTTACAGAGCACCGTGGGTGATAGTTCCTACTAGATACCTTGAAACAGTTTACGACAAAATAAATGAAAGGAAAAGAAAATACCCTTACCAATTATGGTGCATTGCTTGACGGGGTGTTTGTTTCTTATCTGCCAACGTGGCTTCAATTTATAGTTTGTTTTGCTAATGAATGAAGACCAATTCACTTTGCTTTTTAGTTTCCCAAGAGAGATGGCAAAATGACCTAGTTTGTAATTTTTAACCAAACTTATTGATCTTTGTTGGTTGTTTCACTGCTCTTTGTTTATCCTCTTTTGTCTTCATCCTCTTTACCCACTGTGCATATAAAAAATGAAAATACAAGTAGTGTATACTTCATGCAAATGTATACATGTCTGTACATCTTAACAAAAGAACATACAAATAGCATTGTACACCTGTTTTTCCTTGCAAAAACAATTGATATCTATGCATCTCTTGTTTCATTGCGAGTAGTTATATGTTTGTTACTGATAATCTGGTATACTGTTAATGGTCTCCTACTTTTCTGATTCATATATTTAGATCTGTTGATAAGTTTGACATCAAACCATCACCTGACAGGTTTTGCTTTGGGTGTTTTCAGATTCAAACAATAAAGTCACGGTGAGCTCTCAGCAAGTGCAGGCTGACTTGTCCAAAGGTATTTTGGGAGTATCTTTCTGTTTTTCCTGATACACTGATATTTATGCATGCATCAGATTTCTGACATATTAGCATGATGATTTGTTAGTTATACTTTTACCTGTTACCATTCCTTTGCTTATCTTTTGTTTTGTAGTGAAAGATAAGGAAGCAGCATTGGTTGAGACGGAAGAAGACAATAAGAAGCGGCATTTAAATGTTGTTTTTATCGGCCATGTTGGTAGGTTAATCTTCTTCACAATTTTTCAAAATTAAATGCTGGCCTTGTGATTGCTTATTTGTTGTGCTTTTGCTATGGTTACTACACTACTGCCACCATGTATTATGTTGTCAAGTGGATATTTTCAGTGGAATCTGATTGGTGCATTGTTTTATGGCTGTTTAGCTAGTCAAAATTATTGTCAAGGAGGCATTAGTTGTCTCCGTGAGAGCTGATGGCTGTTTCAATCCTTGTCAAGTACTTCCATGACATATATGCTTTTTTTTAGGGGGTGGGTGGGTTAAGTGGCAATGCTTTGTAGCATTAGTGGCTGGATGATGCAGGCTATGATCTACGTGTATTTATTGTGGTTTGAGCATCAAATCTTTCCTCCCTGTGGGTTTTTATCTTGGTGGATTAAGTATGCGAGCTTTAACAAATTGCTGCTTCATTTGATTGAGAATGTTGTTTTCAACAAATCTGGAATAGTGTTCTGGATCTGGTTTATTCAGTTTTCTTGCCTCTTCATGTAAATTAGCTCTCGTCTTTTCATTGCTGTACTAGCTCATGTGTTGACTGGTTGCAGATGCTGGTAAGTCCACCACTGGAGGCCAGATACTCTTTCTTAGTGGCCAGGTGGATGATCGCACAATCCAAAAATATGAGAAAGAAGCTAAGGACAAAAGTAGAGAAAGTTGGTAGGTCCACCTTTTTTGTTTATAATGTGGATTTATCTAAATGGTTTTTTCAATTCACCTCTTTGCAAGAGTATGCAAATTGGCCTTGCTTTTTTGTTGTAGCTTTATGAATTGGTCTGTATCTTATTGTGATGGTTTTTACGTTGTGATTTCCATTATTTTTAGATTGCTAAGTTGCTGTTGTATTTCTTAAAATATCTGTAATGTTGTTGAAACTTTTTTTCTTTCATTTGGAAGCAGGATTGAAAAAAGAATTTTATTGGAGAAATTTATTCCCATTGTTTGTTATTTGAATTTAGTTTACTCATTTGTTTGTGATACTAACTGGATGTAATGAAGGAAAGACAAATTGGTACGAAATGATTCAAGACTATCATGTTTGAACTCTATGTTAGCCTCCATTCTTTTGCAATGTTTTCGATTGATGCATGTGAAATAAACAACTAATCGAGCGAAACCAGGATATTTTGTAATTAAAGTTCTAGAAAGACAAGTATTGTGGTATTACAGAAGTCACAGACTCTGCGAACATCCTGCATCCTCTTGACTAATAATGGAAGGAAAGCATCAATCAGAACCACATTCCTTTTGTGTGCTGATGCAGCTAAGTGCCTGACACTATTGGTTACGGTTTCCTTCTGTTGTGGCTGGCACTTGCTTGCATGTGCTTGAACCAATACAACAAACAAGGATAGGCTGCCTCTCCGGGCATCTAAGAATGATAAGAGACGAACTATGAATTATACATGTTAAATATTAGTTGTTACATAATACATATTAAATCATGCATGTCTGAACCTACCAGGTGCATTAGTTTTAAGCTAACTGAAATTTTACTCTGCAGTGGGCTCCTCTGATATGAAACTTATATGATGAGTAGATATTGTCTTATCTCCTCTGTAGAAATTTTATTCTACTGGAGTTTGTGTCAATGTCATGTAAATTGGTGTTGAGTTCTCAAATGGATCCAATAGTAAGGGTTAACTTATGAGTTAATCAAGGGGAAGAGAATGGATTAATCTACAGCTAGCTGGTCACATAACTGGATGAGGATAGTTTTGTTCCACAAGAGAACCTATCAAATGAGATTACATGATTCATTTTTGTAAAAGCAAATTCTTGTTCTTTTGACATTGCAATTCCAAGAACATACACTGCTGTCTCAATTTCCAAGTGTACTTATATTTGGCTTCTGTTCAGGATTGTTTTTTCAATAATCCAGTATTATTCTTCTCAATCTCATTGATGCTTGAGTTTTACCGTGAAGTTATCTAATGATGTCCCTAATTCCTAGTTTTCCTAACTTTTGCTGTTTTCTGATGTTTGAACTGAATTTTCTTTAAATTGTTTGTCTTTTATGTGTTGTATGTGCTGTCATTGAAATTTGCTCTGTATTTTCTGGTATTTGATTCAGCAGAATAATTGGTATTTCCATAGAATTGCTTATTACATTTTGACGACCATTATTTTCCACTTGCTAGGTATATGGCTTATATTATGGACACTAACGAGGAGGAGAGGGTTAAGGTAAGGTTCTGTGACAATTGGGTTTGTGTAGGGCCAGATAATTTTTTTTTTTTCAATAATATTGCAACTGTTTCTGTTTTGTTAATGCTCATTCACATGTGAAACTGACTTTAAGCCCGCTTGTAAAATTTTGTTTGTTTACTGTTGATTGTAGGGCAAAACAGTTGAAGTTGGAAGAGCGCACTTTGAAACAGAGACAACAAGATTTACAATTTTAGATGCACCGGTGAGAGATTACATTTCAAAATATTGTTTACGCTTTTCTTCACTGAATTTGTTTATATCCATTATCGCCATCAATAATTAGTTTTATTAGATGAAATATTTAAAATGAAAATGAGTAGCTTTGCATGACATTCTTCTCCTGAGGATTGGTGTTCTGAAAAATGTGTTGTTGGTACTTTTTTTTAGCGGCAAGGAAGTTGGGTCAATTCAAGTATTGAGAGGGGGAGAAATAGACCTAAAATGACATACAGCGAAATGATAAAGACTGATCTAGCATTTTAATATCTTACTAGAGATTTTACTCCATAACCCAGTTTCCGGATGATAGTTCTGTAGAATGTGTATTTTTTGCTACTCTACTTGCCATTTTTTCTTTTTTTCTTTGTGCATCTCTCATTTCCATCATTCTGTTTTTTCTATCCATACTTCAGTGTGCTCTGCACCATGAACACCTGATTAGACTGATTGAGGTAATGCAAAATACGGTGAATAAAACCTTCCTGACAATATTACACAATAATAAAAGCACAAATTACTCGAAAAGTGTCCTTGCATACGTCATCCTTTATCGCCTAAATTAGTTATGCCTATAACACATGGGGTATAGTGGGGAGATGAGAAAAAGCCTTCAGCAACTTGTCTACCATTCTGTTATGTTGCATTTATAGGGTGTGAAACTAATGTATCCCCTATGTTGTTGCGAGACTGTATGTTTCACCAGTTAACAAAGGATATTCTGGTTTTGTGTGATTTTATCACCAGTTTTGGTCATAGTTACTAGAGCAGATGACCAAGTTGGTAGATACTGTGATCATCCTTCACTACTTAAGGAACTTGCTAAAAGAGATGCAGATGATGACAGATACTCCTCTATGCATGTTGTGATTCTTGCCAACGTGCCATACGTAGGGAGAGCTTGTGAAAGCTTGTAGCAACACTTTTTCTTAATATCTTTCTCCTGTCTTTCTTATGCAATTAGTTATCAGAAATATACCAATTCTAACAGCCTTTTGTGCTTGACTGGTTGATATATTTAAATTAGAGGCTTGTTTGATTTGAGGATGCTTGAGAGCGTTAAATATGTAGAGGCTAATTCCCAAATCAATTCTCTCTCAGCTACTACGAGTAGCTGGATTCAAGCAAGCTTTCTAGCAAAACATAATAGTATGAAAAGAGAATATATTGAAAAGCATGTATAGTTATTCTGAAAATGGAGTAGCGTGTGCATTTGGTTCCAACCAAAATTTATTATTCTTTGAATTATTCAAGTTATTTGGGAAACAAGATATGGAGGCAGATAGAAACTGAAATGTATGAAATTTGAAAGTGCTCCAGATCATTCTTTCGGTAAAAGGCAAGCTCCAAACTCTGATTTTGTTGTTTCAAAAGTGGATTTCCTGATTCTTCTTTCTTCAAAACCATGTATCCCAGTACCCTTTCTCTGCCTCTGTAAGTGTATGTGCTTGTCCTTTATAAAACACGTCTAATTTTGAGAGGCAATAGTCTCTCGAGGGACGTCCTATAAAAGGTTTAGATGGGAAGATGCTTGCTTTTGTCAGTGTGATTGAGTGGATATGTGATTTCTAAAAACATGAAACAAGGTGGGGAAAGAGTTAGAGTGGATGGCACTTAAAACACACAAAAAGAAACATTTGTTTCATTGCTTATGTGGTAACTTGTACAAAACCAGTAGTTATGGTTCCATTGGAAATTCTTCTTGTCTGTGAATCATGTACTCAACCTACCTGAAAATATGAGCTGCGGTAGTTCTTTTGGGTGCTGCCTATGGGAAAAAAATTTATAAGTTGAAAATTTCATGCAATATAATATAAGCCGTTCCTTGTGTCTCTAGGTTGTCTGTACTGTTTATTTTAATTCTGGTTTTCATTTTTAATTTAATGTACTCGTTTTTTGTTGGAAAGTACCTATAATTTTGCTGTTCTTGATTCTACAGGGTCACAAGAGTTATGTTCCAAATATGATTAGTGGAGCATCTCAGGCTGATATTGGCGTGCTAGTAAGTTTGCACCAAATTGTTTTTGTTTTCCACTTCTGCTTTTTCAGGGTCATGCACTATCGCTTTTGAAATTCCTGACAGATCTCTCTCTCATGATTAGGTTATTTCTGCTCGGAAAGGAGAATTTGAAACTGGTTATGAGAGAGGTGGGCAGACCCGTGAGCATGTTCAACTTGCAAAGACCTTGGGTGTGTCTAAGCTGGTTGTTGTTGTGAATAAAATGGATGATCCAACAGTGAATTGGTCAAAAGAAAGGTGCTTTTCACTGTTCAACAGTGTGTGTGTCCTGCAGATGTGCATATACTTTCATGACCTTTCTTTGTGGGCATAATGTGCATTTGTTGAAGCAACCATGTGCTTCTTATGCTTCTGCAGGGTCTGTTCTGTTTTAGTTTCTTTCTGCTGGCTTTTTGATTTATTTTCCCAATTTCTCTCAGGTATGATGAGATCGAATCAAAGATGATACCATTTCTCAAGTCTTCTGGCTACAATGTGAAGAAAGGTATTGAAGGATTTTTTTTCTTTGGTCTTATGCTTTTGAAGCATTGCCTTTTCTAAATTGTATAGGCTTTGTTTGAACCTTTTCATTTTATTAACTGTTAAAAAGGTCTGATATGTTATATATATAGCCTCTGAATCTGGACACCTTAGATTGCTTGTTTTAGTAATTAAACAGGCCCGAAAATCTGAATAATAGAGTGGAGGATGAACTAAATTTTGCAAAATCCCGTTTAATGCTTTGATTTAGCTTCCTTGGGCATTCTTTTGATCAGTGGGTTGTTTCATGCGAAATTCTTCAATGGGATGAAGTAAACCTCTAGTCCCAGTCTTATCTTTTTCAGTTACCTGTAGCATTACTCTATAAATTCTGCTGGGTTATTAGGTCATCATGTTTACTGTTAAAGGTATATGTCAATAGCCCATGTACTTTTTTATTGGTGAAATTTGTAAACCAAGAGTTTGTTTGGGTAAGGGTAGCTTTTGGGATTTTTACTCTATAAGTCAATATAAAAGGTGTATTGTGAACTTTTGAAAAGTTACTTTGAAATGATTTAGAAGCCAACAAGCTGTAGCTATCAAATGAGGCTTGTGGGTGTTTGAATCTTGTTTGATATTAAATATTTAACAGAAAATACTAAAAAAACAGTTTTACAGCCATATTTACAGCTGCAGCTAGCAACCCCAACTACCGAATAAATAAATAAATAAAGAAAAGAAAAGAAAAAGAAAAAAATCATGGTAGATATACCATATGGAGCCTAAATTTTTTGGATGTTTTCAAGCATGGCTGGTTAAAAAAAAAAAAATCCCTGTTGTCATAGTTACTATTTGAATATGAGTGATGTTGGGGATGCTAAGAGTTCTTTACTAAATTGTTTTACTAAATGATATTGCAATATGTGATAGGTGTATATACATTTAATAATGATATTACCATATTAATTGTGAAAGATATAGCCCATCAGTATTTTAAAAATTTTCCCTAATGAACATGCCACAATACTTGGTAAAAGAATTTAGTAAAAAATCTAAGTACCCCTAGCATTACTTTCTAAATATTTAGTACATTTGGCCTCATCTTTAGCTATTTGAACATTATGGATAATATGCTGTCGTCTGAATCAGTCTGCTTGCTTTTTCATGATGATTTCGTCTCTAATATCAGTAAATGGTTTGATTACATGGGATGATACTTTTTGTTGCAGATGTCCTATTCCTACCAATATCTGGTCTGGTTGGCACCAACATGAAAACAAGACTGGACAAGGCTATATGTTCATGGTGGAGTGGCCCATGCCTTTTTGAAGCCCTTGATGCTATTGAAGTTCCTCCACGAGATCCTAAAGGTCCTTTTAGGTAAAGTTGCATCCCTGCTCTCCCACCCCCCACAGGCCGGCCCATTGTTGCACCCACACTTCTTTTCTTTTGAAAGAGTTGAAAGTTCTGATGAGAAAATGTTCTCGTGAAGTTTGAGCAGTAGCGGTCATGGTTACTATATTAATGTTCTTTTATAAGAACCATTGAATGATTTGACTACTGTGGCCAAAGAGATGTCTTATGATTGATTTTAACTTCTGTATTTGGATTCGAGGATTATTTAATTTTAAAATTTGCAGGATGCCTATTATTGACAAATTTAAGGACATGGGAACAGTTGTTATGGGCAAAGTAGAGTCTGGTAGTGTGACTGAGGGTGATTCCTTGTTGGTTATGCCAAACAAGGTGTGTGCTCTGACCTGTCTTTAACTCCTTGCTCTCTCTATTTCTTGTTTATGTTGTAATATAACGCCTTGATTACACCTGCCCGCAGACTCAGGTGAAAGTTCTTGCTGTATATTGCGATGAAAACAAGGTAAGAGGTGCAGGACCAGGAGAAAATGTACGGGTTAGATTATCTGGAATTGATGATGAGGATATATTGTCGGGTTTTGTGCTTTCAAGTATTGGTAAGTTTTTTAAGTTTGTTCTTAGAAGTTGCGAACAAAGGTTTATTAATCTGATGTTGTTTCGAGCTTATTTGTTGTTTCTTCCTCTGGCTCCTTTTTTGTTGACCTGACTTTTTTATTGTTACTCATTTATGCAGCGAGACCAATCCCTGCAGTTACAGAGTTTGATGCTCAGTTACAAATCCTTGAGTTACTGGATAATGTATACCTATGAGTTTTAATTTTGTTTTTCACTTATTTTCCCCATATTTTCTTCTCTCTTTAGTAGCTTGTCATGTTTATGACTTTTTCTTAGATCTGCCTTGATGTATACTGTAGCATCTAAAGCAGAACACTGTGGTTGCTATTTTAGGCAATTTTTACAGCTGGCTACAAGGCTGTTTTACACATACATTCTGTTGTCGAGGAGTGTGAAATTGTTCAGCTGCTTCAGCAAATTGATCCAAAGACAAGGAAACCTATGAAAAAGAAAGTACTCTTTGTGAAGAATGGTGCCATTGTTGTCTGCCGCATTCAGGTATTAGGATATGGCTTTTGTGCCATATTTCTCTAAAAATTTATGCCTGCAACTTTGCTTTAATTTTTACATTATATGCACACAAATGTTTATAGTGCATGCTGGGACATCCAAATATAGGTTACTTATTAGTGAAATTTGAATTGAGACAAAATAGTGCGAGAAAACCTTGTTAATATTTATTTAGATCTTGTTTTATCATTATGCCTGTTAGGTAACCAACTCGATATGTGTTGAGAAGTTCTCAGATTTCCCGCAACTTGGCAGGTTTACTCTTCGTACTGAGGGTAAGTTACCAACTTAATATTTAGCTGATACTTGATTTGTTCATTTGTTGAGATCACATCTCAAGTGGATTTTGTGTCTTCCAGGAAAAACAGTTGCGGTGGGAAAAGTCACAGAACTTCCTTTGGGTTTAAATTTTTGAACAATTTTGCATTAAAGGTGAGTGTGTTGCATTCTAAACCCTTGCATTGTTCTTTATGCATTTTAAGTTGTTATACCATGCAACTAAGTCTAGCTGTGCACTTACTGCTGCCTTTTATTGGAATGATTGAAGTTCTGTTGTGGTGTTTTGGTTCAAGACATAATATTTGCCTCAGTTTTACATAATTTTTTTTTATATATATATTTTATAATATCTCTTTCTTTGATTTGTTTGCCACACATTTGTCTGTTGCATCTATCAACTGCCTTTATTGTGTACTTACCTCTGAAGTTTTTCGTTTTTCCTTTCTTTTTGGATGGGTCTCAAAATACAATACATATGTTGATTGGTAGATGGCTTTTTTTCCCTTCTCCATGAAGCTTGTTTAAAATCATGTCTTTATCTTACTTTGATGTTTTTATTAATCTGATGCTGTTTAAAATCATGTCCTTTTTTTCCTTGGGTTCCCTCCCAAGTAACATCCCGATTGCTTGTGTTGTGTGTCACAAAATTGATTGATAATTATCGTTAGGCTGGAGCACTCAAATTGAGTTCCTTTTTAACTTCATTGGAATATATCCTTATTTTGCACACAGCTTCTCAAACATCTCAATAATGAAACTGATTTATTGTGGCAGGCAATGTTTACTTTGGCAGCACACCCACATGTGTTGATTCATATATTTGAGGTTGGGTTATGGGCACTGGTGCTTGTGTTCTTCAACACCTTTTTACAGAGCATTGATGCTTTAGATGCATGCATAGAATATACCCGATATACTAATCGCATGGTCATTGATCGATTTGTCGGTTAAGTTTGTCCAGTATGTGGTTTTTTCTGACTCGATTCCCATATAGCAGAATGTGTTATTGAGTTAATTAAATGTTTCCAATATGGTGTTCTCTCTCTCTCTTTTTTTTTTTTTTTTTTTTTTTAATTAAATTTCTATGACATGATTACCAAGGTTAGCATATCTATTGACTTCCATTTTTATGCCCCCTTAGTTATTTATACTCGTTTCCATCACTACTAATACATAGTTTGAGCTTTGTTTTAATAGTGTTTGCCTAGACGAGTAAATTTCAACCTTAACCAACAAGTGTTATAGCTTGTTGGCTTATTTATCAAGTGGAATTTAGGTGTGTTTTGGCTATAAGCTTGGATAGAATGGAGGAATAGGAGCCACTAAAATCACTACTTGGAGTTTTGGTTAATTATGTTAAGGACAAAACATATGCCTAGTTACCTTTTTTTTTTTAATATATATATATATGTATATATATATATTGATTTTGTTTAATTGGGATGGCAATTACCTAACCCGATGAGTACCTGGTGGTGTTATTTTATCTGGTTGGGTATTAGCTGGTTTGATGGAGGTCAAACTAGGCATGGGTAAATTCTGTCTTGGATTTCTTGGGTTCCTGTTATTTTCAATCTTAATTTTTCTGCTAATACTTTTATAATTATTCTAATCTAAGGTTAAGGATTTGAATTTTATCCTTTCTTTTTGGCAATATATATATGTGGGTGCGTGCATGTGTTTATAATTTTTATTGAACTTGATCGCCTGACAGATTGCCATCTGTATTTTTGCTATTATCAGAATGGATGGTAGTTTAACATGGATATGTCAAAAGTTTTCCTGAAAGATTAATGTTGCCTTAGCATTTTCTTCTCTTTCTAATTTGGTTAAATTTTTTTTTTTGAAAGGATGATCTGATTTAGGTTTTGAAGTAATAGTTGAGAAACAATTGATGGGGGAAATCAGTGACTGCTAAAAGAATAGCTGCATGGAATTGTTGGGGTGGGGCGAGGGGATTCCAATTTGTTTTAAGATGAAAAATGATTTTAAAAAATGGGATTAGGATTCATTTTCCCTAGTCTTCTAGGAGTAAGCTCTTCCATATTCGAAAATTCTAAATTAGAAATAGGGCGACTGCTTAAGAAATAACATGTCATTTATGGCTTTTTTTTTAATATAAATTTCACCCCAATGAATCTTAATAAACTGTTCTCTTTTAATACATATAAATGGAAAATCATTTTTAAATGTGGATTTGATATTAAAGGAAATTTTATATAATGGGCTAACAAATATATTTTATTTTTTAAAATGAATTAATTATGTCTTTGTATTTTAAATGTGTTTTTAATTTTGTTTTTTTAATAATATTTCTTGATAAAATGAAAATAAAAAATAAAAAATCAAGCTATCTAGGCATGAGAGGCTATTTTGAAAATATATTTAAAATAAATTTGGATGTGCAAACTTTGAATTCAGTCAAAGACTAAGTACCAAATCTTTTTTTTTCCTTTCATTCTTCTTCCTTTCCTCCAAAAATATGGTCACAATCACCTTAAAAGAACTAATCATGTTATTTTTTGACCACTTCAAAAACCTTTATATAAATATATACGCTAAAACTAATATAGTTTTACTGTGCTTGTGTGTTTTTCTTTCCTCTTTGGTTGCGTATTTTTAGTTCGTTTTGGTGTCTATTTTATCTCTATTTGGTAATCAAAGTTTTGATCATGTGATTTTAGACTGCATGTTGCAAGGGTTTTTTTTTTTCCTTATATTATATTTTGGTTTTGATTGTTTAAAGTTTAAAATTATTCTTATTGTGTTTATTTTTACTTTTTTATATTAATTTTCTTCAAAATGTTTTATTGAATTATTGAAAATATGCTATTTGATTTGATTTTAATATATTATTGGAGTAAATTAGCATGTCTATTTATTTAAATATTTTTTTTTATCTTGCGAATAGTTAATTTAATATTTTTTGGAGAGAAATTAGTTATATTTAGTAGTGTAATTGAAAAGATTTTATAAGTTTTGATATCAAATATGAATATGGAAGATAACAAAACCAAAGCCCTAAAAAAAGACTTAAAACTTTTTATGTTTAGATGGACATAACGTAATCTTCAAAATTTTACAGTTCTTAGGCTCCTTTTTGGCTTGAGTTAATTTTCTTTCTTTTTTCCTTTTCCTTTTTTTTTTTTTTTTGATCCATGTTATGCGATTTTTAATATTACCCCTCTACCTTATTTATAATAAGCTTTTTAGTTTTAGTGTTCCTATGTCTTTTTTTAGCTTTTAGTGAATTTTTTTATTTATTATTATTTGGTCTGTGTTTGTGATTTTTATTTTATTTTGGTCATTAAAGTTTTGTTACTTTGCATGTATATAAACTTTTCTACCATTTTATGTTGCCTCAAGTTAAAACAGAGTTTTTTTAGATCTATTTGTTTATATTGACATAATATTTCTTTTTGTCTTTTTACCAAGTAATATCTAACATGTTTGATCGCATCAAAACAAATAAATTATTACCATCTAAAATTCAAGAAGCTGTTGTGTCATTATTTTAATTGCTAGTTGTTATACATGTTTTTAATGAAACGACTGATTATATCAAGTAACATTTTATTGCTCAACTTTGTAATTTTTTTTTCATTTATTATTACTATTACTATTATTATTATTATTATTATTATTATTGCATTATATTTTTTAAAATAATTGTTTTGCATAGAATGTCTTTTATTTGGTCATTCTCTGATAAAAAGTCAATCCTATAAAGTAGATGTATCTAATTTTTTTGAAATAATCTCTTTCTATACTATTTTAAACTGTCTTATTACTACCATTGAATTGGTCTATGGTTGAACAAATAAGAAAGCTGCCTAGCTTACCCTATGGCAATGCGTGAGATGCATGCTAATTTTACCTAAAATCAAGCCTAAATTTGTGAATTTATGATCATAGACTTTAAAACTGATCTTTTACATATTATCTTCGTATTTTTTAGGCCAATATTAAGTTCTAATTCATCAATCACTATCACTTCTTTTTTCGTTTATTTTTCGACTGTTCACCACCTCAAACATTGATTAATCATTTTTTTTTAAAAAAATCCAACTTTAACACTACAAATCCATAACTTTTCACTTCAAAAAATGGATTTGGTACTCATCTTTAGGGGGAGCGGGAGAAAGAATGGTGATGAATGATGATTTAGATATGTTCAGACATTTTCGATATAGAATTTGTTGTGTGTAAATTGCATGATATATATATTTTAATGATTTTGTTAAAAGTTATCATAAAAAAGATAAATTCGAAACTATAATTAACTAATTTTAAAATATAAAAGCATATTAAATATTTATTTAATTATATAAAAATGGGCTGAACGATTTCTCCTTCTATTAATTGTGTTTTTTATGTCTTTTTTTCTTTTTTCTTTTTTTTTTTTTTTTCACTTTGACATTACATAGATTTTGCCGACAAAAATGATTTTTTAGATTAGATATATTCAAGAACGATGGTCTGCGCTCTCACACCCTTCCAGCAGAAGGTAATGTCAGGATTGTAAAAGGATTTGCCTAACAAAATCCACCACAAGGTCGCTGATAACTGGTCAACGCCGTCCTCGTCATCACCCCTCTTCTTGGCACCTACCTGTAATTCTTGAGTTTCCTTTAATTTCTCTACAAATTCTTGCTACTCAACGTACGCTATTTAGCGTGTATTACATTATCAATAAAACAGTAGAACATGATTTTACTATTTATCCATTATTTAAAATGCTATTTACATACTCATCAATCATTATTTATATTCACATATCACTATTTATATGTTCATAAATCACTATTTCTTTTACTATTTATGGTATTTTTATAATACTTTGATCCTTAATTTTTCTATATATTTTTTTCAATTTCAGACTTTAATTGTATTGTGATTTGATTTGATTTTGTTTTATTTTATTTGTTAATTATTTTTATTATTTAAAAATTTACTATTTTAATTTGTTATTTTTTTTTAAATTCTCATCAAATTAATTTAAAATTATATTTACGAATAATTTTGATTTATTTTTCTATATGTATGGATTTTGAAATAAATTTTTAGAATATGATTATTTTTTTAAAAAAATAGATTTAGATAATTTTTAAATTATAGTGACATGGTTAATATATATTATTTTTCTGAAATACATTTTTAGATTAAAAGTATACTTCAAATAATTTTTTCTCGATTTTTTCTATTATTTTAAATTTACTATATTAATTTATCATTTTTTAAATTCTCTCTCTCTTTTTTTTTTCAATTTCAAACTTTGATTATATTATGATTTGTTTCTATTTTGTTTTTAGTGTTTTTTGTTAATTATTTTTATTATTTAAAATTTAATAATTTAATTTGTCATTTTTTAAAGAATTGTTATCTAATTAATTTAAAATTATATTTATTGACGAGTTTTGATTTATTTTTTTATATGTATGGATTTTGGAATAACTTCTTAAAACATGATTATTACTTTTTTTTTTTTTGAAAAATAGGTTTAGATAATTTTTAAATTATAGTGGCATGATTAATATATATAATTTGTCTAAAATACATTTTTAGATTACAAGTGTTTTTCAACTAATTTTTTCTCAATTTTTTTTATGTTATTTAAAATTTACTACATTAATTTGTCATTTAAAATTTTTTTTTTTCAATTTCAAACTTCGATTATATTGTGATTTGGTTCCATTTTGTTTTAGTGTTGTTTGTTAATTATTTTTATTATTTAAAATTTACTACTTTAATTTGTTTTTTTTTTTTTAAATTCTCATCCAATTAATTTAAAATTATATTTACTGAAAATTTTGATTATTTTTCTATATGTACAGATTTTGGAATAAATTTTTAGAACATGATTATTTTTTCTTTTGAAAAATAGATTTAGATAACTTTTAAATTATAGGAACTTGATTAATATATATAATTTGTCTAAAATACTTTTTTAG